CCAACGCATACCGATGTTATCAAAATTGACCAATTCTTAACCTTCAAAGAATACTTATACTTCATATCGCACTTGCTTGATAAAAAATAGCAGAAATGTATGTAAATTGCTTACATTATCCTACTAAATGTTACGAAACATCGTTCGGGCATTTTAGCAGTTGAGTAATCGTTGAGTAATTTCAAAAGTAAGTAGAGAAAAATAAAAAACGCTAGAGAAATATTACTATATGCGTATTAAAGACGGCGTAGTGAAATTGTATTTACACATGATCATTAATTCTTCGATAAAGATTAAAACAAATTATATTTGAGTAGAATCACAAATATTAAAAAAACAATATAATTAAAAATTTTTTATCAAAAATTATTGCACTTAAAAAATAATATAAAAAATAGTAATAAAAGAACTTCTATTTTTTATAAAAAATTTCTCAAGATTATAAGTTGAGAAGTGTCTGTAATGAATAAATATCCTCTTAATTGGTTTCCCCAGTGTTCTTGTAATATTTTTTTATAATTTCTTGCTTTTCGAGTGAATAGTGTTCACGTACGACTCAATGAATCGATTGTTTGTTCATTTTTTGTCCTGATACTGGTTTCTAGAGCGGTCCTAGTTTAAGACCGAAACCGTGGCGACCCCAATTTAAACATATTTTGTTAAAATTAATTTTTAGAAATTAGAACACGATTAAAATCTTAGAAACTATATAAATAAAAGTGGGGTCTGTCGGTTTTGAAACTTTTAGGGACTTTTTCTCTGAAACAGTGAATCGTTCCAAACTGGAATTTTTTGTTGGCTTTTATTTGATATTATTTCCGAATCGCATTTCGATGTACCAAATTTAAAGATAATGATAAATAGAATAATATCTTAGTACTAACCTTTTTTATGAACGTTTACGTCTACTAAAATATATGAGTTAACTCTTGTAATCTTGAGAAATTTTTTATAAAAAATAGAAGTTATTATTTTTTAAGTACAACAATTTTTAATAATACCGTTTTTTAAATCAAATATAATTCGTTTTAATCCTTATCGAAGAATTAATGATCGTGTGTAAATATAATTTCAGTAGGCACGTAGTAATTTTATGAGCATTTTTTGTTTTCCTCCATTTACTTTTGATATTACTCAACGTATGATTATGCTAAAATGCCTTCTAAAAATAATTCATTATATACATATTATAGACGGTTTATTTTAAAACTAAAGACATTAAACGATTATCTTGAAATTGATCTAAAGTAATTCTAAATTATCATTGTATTTTTAAAACTTATAACAAGTATTAATATATATAAACACTTACAAAGTTATCGATACGGCTATATCTTTCTTCAGAAGCATCTATAGCCGTAGCAATTATAACGAAAATAATAAAAATAAAGAATTTTATCTTGTCAATATTTCGTGTGATTATTATATTTTGTGTAATATTTACTTACATTTATTATTTCTTATATAATATTTACAATTCGATACACGCATGCGATATAATAGTATGATAATAATACTTCTATAGAAATTGACATTTTAAGTTCACGTGAATTTATCTTTTAAATAACGAAATTAATGAAACAAAATACATTTTATTATTAATGTAATATCAATAGATAGTTTTTTATATAAACAGCTTATTATTTATTAACGTGGATTCTCAGCCTTTATTTAAAAAAATTAGAATGCATTAATCTTGGTATGTTTGCGCAGAAGGAAGACATCCTTTGAGCTTTTGTATCACTAAAGATGGCTTGAATTTGAAGCCGAAATTTCTGTATTTAAGTAACTATTGAAAATTTAATATTTTTTGCGCACCAAATACCGCGCTTGACCTCCGCGCTTAGCCTCTTTCCTCAATTGTTACTTTTAAAAATTAGAATGTTAGAACTCATCGTTTTTCTTGAGGGACAAATCGATTTGCAGGTTGTACACGGGGACAATAATGCCTACATATCTGAAGTTGCATACGTAACTAGAGAGACCAATGAGAAGCACGCTTTCCGTCCAACGCATACCGATGTTATCAAAATTGACCAATTCTTAACCTTCAAAGAATACTTATACTTCATATCGCACTTGCTTGATAAAAAATAGCAGAAATGTATGTAAATTGCTTACATTATCCTACTAAATGTTACGAAACATCGTTCGGGCATTTTAGCAGTTGAGTAATC